TGCATATGAGAGAATTTCATGATGCGTGCTCGGCTGCTTTGCCAAAGTGACAGTTTTGATGTTTGGTAAGCCAAACATATGCAGACGCCGGCACGCGTTCATGTTTGCCTCCAAGTGGAGCCCGGAACATTGATGGGCCCATCCGGGCATTGGAGCTCAAAGTGGTGGTGGCAGCAAATGGTACAACACGTGCTGCAGCGAATCGATTAAATTTCCTTAATGCCAAACCATAAATTTTCAGTTGTTTTACTATTGTCAACGACCTTTCAACCGAAGACAATACACACACACACACAAGCACAAGCAGCTATATATACTTTTGTAGCTACAAAATGACAGTCCCGAAATACAAAACAAAAAAGGAAAAAAACAAATTATGTCTAACATCGCATAGTCCCGAGTTCGGCTGAAAGTTAAGTGCCATCCATATGGGATTATAATATAAGCGTATATCTATATGTATATGTGAATATGTATGCATGTATGTTTGTATGTAATTCGGTTCTTGTTTTTTGTCGTCCCTCTGAGTGTGTCTGTGTGTGTGTGTGTGTGTTACTGTTATGCTTTGTTTGTCTTTTCGTTCCCTTCAAGCGATTTCGTATGCAGTGATTTGGTGATTTTTTTTCTTTGTATTTTGCCTTGTATGTATGAACCAACGAAATGAGAGATTTGTGTGAAGATTTACGCGCTACACAAAAATGAACTTGTGTAAATTTATGTGCATTACAAGAACAGACTCACGCACACAAATTGGCATGTGGGCCTCTGAGCAGCAGAGTCCATCATCAGAACCCTGCTCGAATGCCTCCCCATTAAGTAACTAACGCCATTAGTTGCTTAGTTTTTAGCCGCCTTCGCCCTGCTCCAAGCTTTTTCGGCGTAAGCAATTTTTATTGCTGCATTCCTCAAAGCATCATCAAAGTATCTACGAGAAATCTGCACTTAAGCCAGCTTTGGACTTTAGCTATGTGCAAGCAGTGAGGGATTGTTATGTACAAACCTATAGATTCGGTCGTAACAATCAACCCATCATCCTTGTGTCCCTGCACTATTAATATGTGAAGGATAACAGCCAAGCAACCGTTGGTTTGCTCTGAGCTAAGAATTAGAGAGCATTCAAAGATAACTATATAGGAAGCAGTAATTACTCCACAACATTCCCATTAAATTGGTGACCATAATTGATTCCATTTTTTGTTTTTAGACATAGATGTCTTCAATGCCCGGAAGAAATTCCAGTTACTCAATTACTCATCAAATAAAACACAATAAAGTCAACAATGCTTTAAAATAACATTTGATAAAAGGTCGTCAATATTTGGGCTCGATTATAGATTGATCTGTTGAATTAAATTGTACACATATAACATTATCCAATAGAGATCATTTTTATTTAAAACGTTTCCTCAATTCGCGATAAAGGTTAATATATTAAATATTTGACACAAATTTGCCAATCACAATAAATTAGAACTACATTAAACAGTGTCTATATATGGAACTAATTTCATTTTCAGATTTTGACTTTCTAAATATACTTCAGAATAAAATTCACATCATAAAAAAGTTAGCCTACGATGTGTTATTTGAAGAGTTTATTTAAAAAACAAATAAGACATGAAGAGGGCAGCAAATATGCATTTTCAATTCTTCTACTATAAAAGACTACAATATGTTAAGGTAAGCATTAAAAAGTACGGCATACTTCTTATGCAAGTTCATTCACTTTAGCTATAAGAGTTGCAATGGGAACTTGTTTTGAAATTCAGAACTCACTTCCAGCTGCGTAATACGCCCAAACAAAAAATATGCAATAAATTATGAATATTTATCACAAATTGTTCAGGCCAACTGCGAGTATGCACAAGCTGCTGGCGATTGCTTTCAGTCAAATTTCTTTTAACACATGAATATTCAATGCGCCCATTGTTTTCATTAACTTAAAAGAAACAAAAATAAAGCAAAAATATATTATATTTGGCACGCCGACGATTACATATCCTTGTAAGCCGGAGTCAACCTGCCAACATTTACATTTAAGTCTGGAGCTTTTATTTTTATGATGTATTTGTATGTTTTAAGTAAAGTGTACTTATTTTTCCATGCCTATCTCCATAGCACTACTTAGAACTTGTCATTCGACCGGTTGCTCCAGTGATGATGAATCTTTGCAAGGATCGTAATAGCATGGTTCTAATGGCAGTAAACTACTATAAAGTTGTTCGATCCGATCGACTCCGGCGATTTTGTGATCTCACCTAAAAGACGGTTATATTTTTTTTGTTTCATCAATGCTCGTCTAGCGAAGCTGATCAAGAATATATATACACATGGGGTCGTAGACATCTTCTTTAAAATACAACAAAGCTCATGACAAAAATATAATAACACCGCAGGGTATAGAAATGATATAAATGTTTAAGCTGACAGAGGCGCATCATAATCGACACCTGCGACCTGCCTCAACATATCTTTATTTATTTTTTTGAGGGAGCCTTTTTATGTTAGCTTGTAAAAAGCCGCCATTGAAGTAATTTTAGCCATACGGGCCATATGATGTTCGTGAAGTATTAGTGTAAAGAAAAATTGATTTTTTTTACTCTACTTATTGTTCTTTTTTTTTGTACTATCTACTCTCACATTTACTAATTAAAAGAGGTCACAACTTGAGGACGATTGTATTTGTCAGCTCAAATTAGTACAGTATTTAGCACACACACACGTAGCCACACACACATAATGGAGAATTGGGCCGCAGAAGGCAAATAAGCGGCCAATAAAAATATTATTAATATGCCAACGACACACAAGCCTCGACTTTTGGCATCCGCACCGCTGATGTTCGCAGCGGTGTCGTGTCACAAGCTAACACACACACAGACACACACACACACACACACACACACACGTGTAAAAACCGGAATATTAGCAGCGAGCCAGAGCAGACCACAGACCACACCACACCATATCAGCTGGGTGTGTTTTGGCCATAAATTTATTAACTTAGTGTCACATTTATTGCCGCATTTTCCAACTAAACCGCCGGCAGCAACATTCGAAGGACACCCACGTAGCCCACAGACACCCTCAGGGTACACACACACATACATAAGCAACAACAATTGTCTGTACACAACACCCACTCACTCCCTCTTGCCCTCTCTCTCCAACAAAACCCCAACCGCTATTAGGTGCAAACGTTATGCCAACAAATTGCTTAAAAATGCACTTCATAATGTTGTCGCATTGCTGTCAATAAAGCAGTGAACAAAAATTTTAAATTTTAAAGTGTCCACTTGACTGATTTGACAGCTAAATATACTTTCACAGCAACTCACATTCTATAGATATAAAACATTTTCAAGCGTCTATGCAACAACAACAAGACTAAATGAAATGGCTAAGGCAACGCTAGTTACCTTTTTAAGCACATAAATTATACTCGAAATGAATATCAAAATAGCATCTATGCAGCATCTTGACTTCGATTTAAGCACACACACAAATACACACACACAGGAGTGAACAATGATTGGAACTTTAATTTTTTGAATCAATGTCGCGATTTCGGTTCCGATTTCATTCCGGGCTAGTTTAAAAATCAAGAGCAGAAGTCTTATTATATATAACATTTGATATTTCTGAATTCTTACAAAGTATGCTATCTAAAAAAAATATATACATTTATCATCATTGCATTTCAGACGGATCAAAATTAGTTAAAGCGTTTATGAGCCAAAAAGAAATACTATTATTAATAATACAATTTTCTAATCTAAGAAATTTCACATAAGAACATATATAACTGCGAAAGGAAAAATATCACAAATAATTAATTCTGTCTTTGTAAATGGATTACTTTCCAACAAACGAATTTCCCAGTTCCTGAAAATACAATCAAAATATATAGCCCTAACCATTCGAACGTTACGAAAAGAATTTTTGCATTTTTTTGAATTTTTGAATTTTTTTAGACTAAGATATTCACTCTTTATTTATTGGAAATCCGGCTCAATGACTCCTAAGCAACAACCAGCACTTGGCAACGGACAAGCAGTGTTAAAGTCAGCCCAAAGATTCTCGTTGGGGTTGACATCTGGAGGCAATGCAAGATATGCTAGGACAATTGAATTGCCCTTAAACCACTTTCGAGTGCTATTTCTACTATGCTTAGAAGCGTTTTCCTAATGGAAACCCCTTTATCTTTATCTGCGTAAGGCAACAACACACTTTTCAATATTTTAACGTAAACATGTTGATCCATGACATTACCCAATATCAATCAAACCTTGTACCTACATACTTAAACTTTTTGCAAAACAAAAATAGGCATATTGAAAATCTTACAAATCTGTTAGACTCCCAAACAAAATAAAAATAAAAGTATAACTAAAAATATTAATTTTTAAACTATACGAGCAAATCAAAAGGGGACTCAAATCCAAATGGTTTTATTTGCCGACTTGATTTGATAGCAATTTAACCAGCCCTACCAATTGATTTCCAAAGTTAATGTTTTCGAAAATGAATGTTCTCACTTAGAAGCCTTAGCAGGCTTAAGTGTAATTTAAACCAAACACGAATTTCGAACAACGCTGGAGCACGCAAGGCTCTTCAGCAACTTTTTGTAAATTGTTTTATATGAAAAGTTTCTGAATAGAATATCAAATAATCCGCTGATATTTTAAATATGTACAAATGTCGGAGGGTAGAGGCACCTGTTGTCCATGGCACCATTGTTGCCCAGTTCTTATCGCAGCACACTTTTGTTGTTGGGTAGACACAATGGCTGCCAAACAGGTATTTTATCTACACATACATCTTGTATTGTTTTCGATGCTTATCGAGAATGGGCGGCACAACAGATGTACAATTGAAATCAATTTCCCAGCTAGCTTGTAATTAATGCGTCAATATGTGGCACTGATAAGCACAGTGCGGTGCACGATTCTGGGCAAACACAGTTAACAACAACGAACAGAGATAAACAGCGAACTTACATTTGGGGCACACAGAACCGTTAATTTTACAACTCTTAACAACAATTTCAATTCAAACTAAACGCGCCAAACGCGTTGCATACCGCACGGCGCAACGAGCTGCGGAACAACAACAATAAGAAAAAAAAACACTAGAAAAAAAAGAGGTGGTTTTAGTCTCAAAGAGTTGCTCCAAGTTCGGTCTTAGTCGCTTCCTTAATGCTGGAAACGAACTAACAGCAACGCAGTCTCGCGACCAACTGAGGCACTCAAAGCGACAACAGCAGCATTTAAGAAGCAGCTGAAACAGTTGTTGCCCATACAAAGTGCGTCTCTCTGTGTGTGTGTGTGTGTGTGTATGTGTGTGTATGCGTGTAAGTGAGTGTGTGCGGTGCTGCGATGAGCCGCAGGTCAGCGGATAGTGGCGGCGGCGGGTGTTCAATGCCTGATAGGCCACCACGACCAAGCAAGGCAGCGGTATTTTGTAAAGGTTAAGCCAGCAGCTGTTTTGCAGTAAACAGCCCAAAAGCTCAGTAAGTCAAAAGCTTAACGCATTTGCTATCCTTTTATCTTGCATCTGGCAATGCTGTACGCTAAGAGCGCAACTGACAGAGAGAGCGAGCAAGAGAGAGCTTTATTGAGGACATCGACACTGACAATTGCTCATCCTGCTCTGTTTACGTAGGCGAGTGGATGATATAGAGCGCGCTAGCTGTATCAAGGATACATGTTGTTATAGAACCAGGAACTAACTGTTATGGAACCAGGAACTAACTGCGTCAATGAACAAAAAAAAAACCAAGACCACTCGCGCAAAGAAATGAATCAAATGTCAAAAGAAATAGAATAGTGAACAATTTTCTGTTTTTGATTCTTAATTTATTTTATTTATTAGGCATTTTGGCTATATCTTATTTAATGTAATGTAATGCTCACTGATTCCTGGAACTAGCTCAATTTTTGGTGTTTCAGGAATAATGTCGAAAATGAAAAACTTATCATAATCAAATATTATATGAAGGACTGATTTTGTCCTGTTTATCATTGATATAATAGGTATAAGTATATTACTGAGAAAGGTGAGTATTGGTTTTAGAGCGTAGTGCTCGACTCTATAAAACAACGAATTATTTCCCCGACACACCGACAACCTTACAACTTTAGGTACTCGGGACTTTGACGACTTCTTATTGATGATCTGATGGAACCGTGCGCTTCACGAACTCAACTCTCTCGTTCTACTGCTCTTCACCGACTCATGCTTATGCTGCTGTTAGCGTTGCCATCCAACAGCAATGTAATTCCACTGTAACTACTGGTTACATTTGGTCATTCTGATCATCGGAGTCTGACCCAGACGACTAGTGCTTGTCGCTGTGCTTGTCTCCGACTTGGCTGCCTCCTCTTCGACGTTTCCACCATTCACTTTCTGTTGTTGTTGCTTTTCCTGTTCGCTATCAGCTCCATTTTCGGTGGGTTGCAATTCAATCTTGGCTATCGCTTCGGCCGCTGCTTTATCCGTGCCCTGCTCTACTTTATCCGCATTGGCTGCTGCTGCAGTTGCTCCTTCGGCTGCTGCTCTCTCTGCTGCTGGCTGCTCCGCTTCTCTCTCAGCTGCTGCTACTTTAAGGGAGGCTGGCTCACTGCCGCATCCTCGCGCTGAAGTGACAACTGTGTCGATGTCTTCGTGTTGATCAGTATATTCTCGAGATTCTTGCCCAGCTCCTCCTCAGGCACTTTGAATTTACGGAACCACTCCTTGACCCGCTGCAGCGGATTGAAATGTGTTTTTATCAGTTCCGGTCTCAACGATGTTATAAATACTTGGCTCATTTGTTTCAGCGATGTCCGGCTGCACTGTCGCGAAGTCAAAACCCGATTGGGTACAGTATATATTAATATCAAAATCAAATTACTTTGACTGAGATTTGGTGGCACAGTTAATAAACAACTAAAAGAAGATCATTTTGGTTTTGATCTAATGAACGCCCTATCATATCAAAATTGCTAATTTTCCTAAGCCAAAAATAAATAACGTTTGTGATGAACCAAAATTGCTAAGTGCTATTACCGACATATGCGGATAGACGTCTTCATCCACCGGAATAACACCCAAAATGTGCTTCGTTAGGGATTACTTATTCTGGCGTTCCTGAAAGTAATGGCACGATGCAGCGAATAGTAATACTGATAACAATAGATGATAATATTAATAACAATAACAAAATTTTAATAATAATAATAAAAGAACGGAAGTTAGAACTCTATAGTCCAGTGAGCTCGACTACGATATACCCTGAACTCAGATATTAAATATATTATGGGTTTATTTCCAAATGTTTCTTTAAATAGTTGTGCACACCTAAATGTATGAAGATATGCAGTGCTGTCTTATGTCAATGCTACTGAAGAATAAACACACGATATATTAATTATGTTTATTTTATTCCATTTTTATTATTAATATATTAAATAAATATATCAAAATAAAATTAATTTAAATAAATATGTTTGCATTCAAGTTTAAGAAATTTTACAAGCTAAGTTAATTTACACTATTATCAATGCTCATATACGAGCATTAGATAGATCCCATTGCGGTAACTATAAACAGCCTCAAAGAAAAGTTTAGGGCATAGGAGGGTATGGAATACCGAAACTACATATTTGTTGTGCACTTACTACTCTCCTACAGAATGTCCGTGATTATGAATTTGATACGCCAAAATTGGAATTACAGCCGAATTACTTATGTCAGTTGTGATAAACTGATCAATAAAGGAATTAACACGGAGAATACTTGACTCATCATTTAACTCAAGCTTGGCGGCATCCTTCATCCGAAGCATGTCATGCATATGTGGTTAGCCTCGGTGAAACTCAATTCGCCAATAACCCTATGACCGAAATTACAGCCTTCCTTTTTCATCAATTTTAGAAGTTGTCTATAACTGAAATCAAAATACCTAACGCAAGTTACTGTATCAGCTCTTGTTAGACACGATTTGTCATTAAAATTTATATTTTATGTCTTCAGAAATATGAACTTTGTCTATGTTTTTCGAAGGTAAAGCTAAGAACTGCGCCGACCTAGTCTCAGCTGCTGAGAAAGTTATTAAAAATGTCGGAAGACAAAATACCCATTACTTCTTTTTCTGCTTCCAAGCAAATTGATGTATGTATTATTGCTTATATTAATCATTTCCAGCTTTTTATAAATGAGAAATAATTTATCAGTTCCACAACCTCTTTTAACCAAATTCCTAAGTTCGGACCTAACTATATTTGTAAAACTTTTTGTGTATTTTCTTTTAATACCTGCGAATATTGTTGGGAAAGCTAGCCCCTCAAAGTCCTCGTCGGCAGTCATGTCCAAAGGACGCTGACCTTCTCCAGGAGCCATTACTATCCTCTGCACCGCTACATTTCCTAACAATGTTTCTTGACCTCAAGGATTGATATTTTCTATGTCTGAAGTATTTTGTTCGCAAATGGAGGCTTGAGCGGACCTTTCTATTAATTCTGAAACTATCATCAGCTGATGCAACAAATGGAAGTATGCCAGATGATAAGGAAGACACCCATTATTCGTTAATAACAATCTGGGTTTTCCTGTTGACCTCTGTACTGACTAAATAATTCCCTGCATTAGCAATTTTAGAAGGGGTTTGGGCCATGAAATCATGGCTATATTCCGTTTTACGCTTAAGGTGTATCTGAACTATTGGCAACGGGGTTCGGTACATTGACCACTGCTCCCTATATGGCATTTTAATCATAAAAGGAAGACGTAGGGACATAAGTCGTTTCTTTAAGCAATCCGGAGATCTGCAATGTCCATCCCATTTGTTATATAAGCCTTTGGTTTCTTGCCTAATCATAGGTTCCAGCTGCATATCTTGCAAAAACCATACTTACTGTTGGAACAAAGCAAGCCCGTAAAAAGATTTAAAACATCTACTAATTTCTAAGGTACATTTGCTTTCTACAAGAGCCCGAAAAATTTGATCTATTTGATGTGGAAACCTGATCTTCTATTGAGGGCGACTATTAAAGCATCTAAATTAGCGCTTATTGACTTGACTTGCTCTATTCTCTGGAAAAGTATTTGCATGTTGCTCACTGTTATAGGCCGTATTTTGACTATTTTCAACTGCCCCATTTTCAGGATTGCTCCTATATTAGCTTACGCTTTCGGACAATTTCCTATTCGCGTCTATTGCAACCCGACTTAATATTATTCTAATGCTCCTCCTTTACCTATAACTGGGGCCTGCTCAATAGTCCTACGAATGGATTGACCCTAACCATGGACCTGTGACTTCTATCCCTTGCCCATTATAAAATTCTTTGATCTATGTTAGTCGGCCAAGTTATGTACCGTGTTATGTCTCTGTTCGTCTGCCGTATAAGCAGGGTCTAGTTCGATTTGCCTAACTAAAGAAACTGACCGAGTAATTTGGTGACGCTGTCTAACTAAACTGCATTCACATTGGCTGAATCCTTCATTTTCCCTACACTCTCTTTGAGCCTGTGTATTATTGAATCTGTCCTGGTCGGCATAGTCGGAAGTTGACGTATTTAAAATATTTCTATCTCTACGCCTGCGAGACCTAGTGGAAGCGGACATTCTATTTACTCGAGGCATATTTAGAATATGTGTGTAAGAATACTAAGAGAAAAATAATAATAATAATAATAATAATATGTGTGTATATAAAGCGGCAATAGATAATAATTGTAATTATTAGGAAATAAGTCTTTAGAACAACTATTGATTTATGAAGATTATATATGGAAGACAATTTAAAAGAGTTACTTATTTTCCTAATCTTGTGTAACCAGATTATTAACATGCACAATGACTATTAAACAATTACATTAAGAAACACAATACATTTCTTGACACAACCTTTGCTGTTAACTAAAACAACGTCTGCCTTAACCACATTTAACACGGCTCATTCTCATGTGCTCATAGACATACATGTATGCTGACCCTCTTTAATGCAATATTTCCTTTTCATGGCAAGAAATTGCCAACACGGTTATGTACATGCAAACAGGTAGGTATGCAAGCGTATTTATAATGCTAAAATATGTTTGAATATCGCAGCAACGATTAATACTTAAGTATCGCTATATCGATTAGTATCGAAGCCCTGGTCACACATGAATTGTCTTTCCTGCTTTCTGCTGTGTATTTATTCCTAAGTTCAAAAGTTGCTCTCAATTCTTCAACAAGTAAATACGCACTCGCGCGTAATAAAAATAATCCATAATCAGAAACTGCGTTTAACTCTTCATTTTTCTATCGAAATAGCCATGTCCATTCATCTGAGTGAGCACGCAGATCTCTGAGACGATGAGCATAGAGACTTCGCAAATATCAATACACATCGATACCCGATGGCAATCAAAGCAACAATTTGAAAGGCAGCGCATTCCCAAGCTGCTTACAACCGAGTGCCAACAACATTTCTTCGCACCCATATAACTACACACATACATGTACATGTATGTACATACATACATTCTTAGAGCTCTGCAAATTTACAGACATTTCTGCCGTCTTTCTCTCGCTTCCATTACTCATCAAGGTAAATTACATACATACATACATATATTTCATTTACATTGTATAAATATATCTTTAAAACTGTTGCTTATAGTTTATGAAATCCGCGTGTTCATGTAGACGGGCATCGCTAAAGCAATTTCACTATTTGAATAGTGCGTTGGAAAATACACAGAAATATACACTCCGCGAAATTCGATTAAAGGCTCTCATGTTTATGGTGCTAAAAACAGTACCAAGCCTAACGGAACCTTGTTTACGCATTTTATAACGTTGCTTCTTCTTCTACTTACACTGTTATGATGCATTGGAATGAAAGTTCCGTTAGTTTTTTTCCCCAATATTTTAGCATATTTGTGTACTTTAGCTAGTTTGGGTGGGAACTTCGATTAAAGTCAGACAACATCTAGCCTTCGGAAAAGTAAGTGGGGCATTATATGGAATTTCTTTGAAAAAGATAATAAAGTATACATACATACATATCTACTTAATATTTTATAGGTAGAAATAGATGAGTTGCATACAAAAATTTGGAATGGGAGGGGGAAAAACACTCTTGCCTTCAAGTATACTGGACTGATCAACAGGCAAATATCAATTAAGCCGATCGGCATCACCAATTGAAAATGTATCAAAATTAAAATAAAACTACATTAAACAATGCTAAAAATCCAATAGCAAACAATCATATAGGCAAAACTCTGCAATCTTACGGACTGGACTGGCTTTAAATGATACGTCATCATTATATTTGGTTTAAGGTAACAAGTATCGAAATATCTTGTTCAACAAATTTTATCAGGTAGTGATCGATTTGTTTGGAAGAAAATAATGTCAAGGCTGGCCTTAACGGAGGTGAACCAAATGCCACATCAACACATGTCCTGGATCCAGAAGTGGAGAAAAGCGGTATCTTCTGATGAGAAACAACTAAGTATTGTAGTCGAGTGAGCTCGACTATGATTACCCCTGAACCCAGCTGTTAAATATATTCTAAAATTATTGGTAAATTTCCCTCTATAACGTTTTGCACCCAAATGTGAGCAGGTCTGCCCGTGCACTCGTTTCTTTTAGCAAGACACTGAAGAATTAAAAAAAAAATAATGCAGCGCATGTTTTTATTCACACTGACCCGAACTAGCTGGCTACAAACATGTGCACATACATACATACATACATACAAAAATATGTACGGGCAATCATGGATAACGGAGCTCTGCAGAATACACACAAAAACAGAAAAAGACGTTCGCGTCGAATCCCGTGTCATCTCTTTCTCACACATGCAAGCAGAAAATGTTTTCGGGTGCTGATAGAAATGAGAATAACATTAGAATATATTTTCGACTCCAACTTGGATGTTTCTTACCCGATCTTGATGAAAATTGGGCAGTTGGTCAATAATATACATATGCATGCTATGTATTAATTAGAAGAATCTGCATTTAAAAGTGTAGCATTTATTGCTATCGGGACTTTAAATGTATCGAAATGTGAGAAACGGAGGCAGTCATCGATAAAATAAAGCAAACTTGATCTGCGCCGGGTATACGATAACCTATTCCGAATTTGAAATCCATAAGTCTTATAGTCTCTGAGATCCGCCTGTTCATACAGACAGACGGACGGGCGGACAGACAGACGGACATGGCTATATCGACTCGGCTGTTGATCCTGATTAAGAAAATACATACCTTATGGGGTCGGAGAAACTAATTATATATAAAAAGTTTAGCTTACATTTTAATAATAATAATAATAATTGATTACAATTGTTTAATAAATGAACCAAATCCCTCTTATTCACGATACTTAAGAGACTGAGCTTTCCAAAATGAATAGATCTAAGATACATATGTAATGCAACACATCAATTTTGTTATGCATTGATTATCAATTATACAAATAGATATTCAACAAAAATAAGCAAATATTAGACAAATGCATTCATGAAGTGAGAGAGATACATATTCAGTTAAATGATAAGTAAATCGATTATAGTTCAAAATATTTAAGTAAATTAATGTCGCTTTTTTACTCTACGTTTTGTAATTTTGCTTTTAGTTCTGGCGTAAATTTTTCATCATTGGATTCGACTTCGTTCGACCCAACTTCTCTCGCATCAGGCTCTATACTAGGTACACCTCTTCCATAATTCTGAACGGCAATTCGATCATCATCATCAAAGGAATCCTCATTGCTATTGGCGGGTTCTTCTTTTGGTGGCGGCAAGAACTCGCCCACTTTCAGTTTGTCAGGTAACTGTTGCGAAGCTCTTACAACTCCATATGGCTTTAAGTGATATATCAGATAATCGAGAACATACATCAGCTGGGGTGAGACATAATGAAATGATATGGCATTGTCGGAACAGCAATCGAGACCCTATAACCAGATTTTATATTAGAATCTTAAATTTTAAGAACCGAATATCTCAGCTTACCTCGTCTGACTTATAGAATTGGTATTTCCAATACCAAAACTCCTTATCCTTACTGGGTATTAAATGGGCCTCAGGATCAAAAGGGAACATACGTCCTCGACCATTGATATCACGCGAATCGCCAGCTGTCACATTTAAATTCTCCATGCATTTACCAATTTCGATATCCTCATTGACAACTGTGCCAGGCAGGCACATTTTGGGATTGGGAATACCCTGAACGACGAAGCGACGTAATGCTTCGCGACTCAATACATAGCCACCTCCGCCTGACATGTAACCCTGATCCACGTAAGGCTTGAACTTGTGGCCAAAGTGTACAGGGGTCTCCGGGTTGTACGGATATAGCATGTAGCGCAAATTCTCAATCACTGCATAGGTGTCATCATCAGCTTTGTAGAACCAATCCGCATCGTTGAAATGATGCCTGTAAACATATTTAAAGGCCTCCTTCACCTTGCGCCATAAATTCTCTCGACCCTCTCCCACATCCAGCTTCACCGTAGGCAGTTCATCATCCGCTTCGGAGCTCATGAACAGTAGAATATTACAGCGTTTGCCCCAAGTGCGCTTAACATGACGAGCCTTCAGTTTGTGGTTATTCGGATTTGTCATAACCCAGCAGAGAATGCGCACATCCTTCTTTAGCTGATCGGCCAGCGAGGTATTATCGGTTGGATGATCGTGCCGAAGGACATCAAAATGTGGTATAACATCATCAGCATGGGATGGCGGGGAACGGATATTAGAGTCTGTACTGGCCAGAAAGTTGGTGGGTTCGATGTCTTCAGATATGGTTATGTAGGAAATGAGCTCGGCCACACAATAACCTATGATAAGGCCAATCATAAGCATAAGAAACGGACGTGATTTTGTAGCACTCGCTAAAATATCAATTGTCTTTAAAAACATTTTTGAACTCTCGCGGGAATTTGTACGGTTACCTGCGTATACTGCGGAGTGTGTTCCCATATTGATAACACGCATTTTTAAATTAGACACAGAATAGGCTTTACAATGAAAAATTTAAGAAACCGACATTTTATAAATGAGAATATTTATTTCTGAACCGACACTAACTATTTGGCGCTGGCGAATCAACTAAACGAACAAAATATAAGTTGTCTGCGATAAATACAACAATTAGACAGCAACAAGTCTTTGACTTGTATGGGGAGAAGCCGAATAATGTTTACACTCTAATACTGAAGGTGTAAGGCTACATCCGCTTATGCACTGTCCGTCACGCTATCTGCCTGTCTGGCTATCTGTTGGTTTGTATGAAGGCGACTGCTCTTTAGACGTCCTCGAAACTAGAGATTTGAAACTTGGAATATAGACTCGAGGTATACCCAGCTGAGAAAAAGTGTTTTAAGGTGGAGTGGTGGCAAATCAGTAAATAAATCAATAAACCTAAAATCTCGCACAATTTTGAAGCTAATGTAACCAAATTTAGATGCTAGACGTCCATCCACCGACCCAAGTCCATTCACACTGCTAAAATTCGGAAATGCATATATTGTTCACAAGTTTTGAGCTGGAGGCAGGTACGAGGCAGATTACATAGTCTCTTCCTAAGATTGATAAGAAAATTTCTTGATCACGACCATCTTAGCCCCACAAATCAATTTTGGGGCAAGAATAACAAAAAAGATACATTAATAAGAATTCAACCACCCCGCCACTCTCACCGGAAAGTTCTTTGCCACCTGGTAATAGTGTATTCCGTAATCGGTTACGCCTGAGAGCAACGTTCTCCCAATTTTTTAATTTGGTGCTTTTTATCTCCTGTTATCATTACTCATTATGATAAAAGGACTAATTAAAAGCATAAGAATGCTGTAGCCAAGTGAGCTCGACTACGATATACCCTGAACCCAGCTGTTAAATATATTCTAAAATTATTGGTAAATTTCCAAAATTAAAGTTTTGCACCCAAATGTGAGCAGGTCTGCCAGTGCACTCGTTTCTTTTAGCAAGACACTGAAGAATTAAAAAAAAAATAATGCAGCGCATGTTTTTATTCACACTGACCCGAACTAGCTGGCTACAAACATGTGCACATACATACATACATACATACAAAAATATGTACGGGCAATCATGGATAACGGAGCTCTGCAGAATACACACAAAAACAGAAAAAGACGTTCGCGTCGAATCCCGTGTCATCTCTTTCTCACACATGCAAGCAGAAAATGTTTTCGGGTGCTGATAGAAATGAGAATAACATTAGAATATATTTTCGACTCCAACTTGGATGTTTCTTACCCGATCTTGATGAAAATTGGGCAGTTGGTCAATAATATACATATGCATGCTATGTATTAATTAGAAGAATCTGCATTTAAAAGTGTAGCATTTATTGCTATCGGGACTTTAAATGTATCGAAATGTGAGAAACGGAGGCAGTCATCGATAAAATAAAGCAAACTTGATCTGCGCCGGGTATACGATAACCTATTCCAAATTTGAAATCCATAAGTCTCATAGTCTCTGAGATCCGCCTGTTCAAACAGACTGACGGACGGGCGGACAGACAGACGGACATGGCTATATCGACTCGGCTGTTGATCCTGGTCAAGAATACACACATACCTTATGGAGTCGGAGATGCTTCCTTTTGCCTCTTACATACATACATTTACTCAAAATCATTATACCCTTTTCACGCATTTTTAATGGGTTCAGGGTATAAAACGATAACGTCATCGTCTCTTGTTTATTTCAATTTAAAGCAACAGCATTTTCAAATGAAACCCATCACCATGAGAATAAATGACTCTTATCACTATATAAAGTCATTACATTGGCTTTTATTAATGCTCTTAAATAAAATTTATATGTTGTGACATATAAGATAACTAAGTTTTGATTAATAAAAGCTGGGCAAGAACAATTCAAAATCTACAAGCAAAGTCGTAAGGAGGGTCTGGCGTTGGCAGGTTGGGGTCTCGTACTCAAACTTATGTATTCATATGTATGTTTTATTGTATCCAGCAAAAAAAAAATAGCTGACTGTAAATCTTACATCAAAATGTAAAAATCATATGCAAATATGAAATCCCGAAATGAGAATTGTAAATAAATAAATAAATCAAATAATACATACTATAATTCTCATCATGTACATTTTCCAGACAGTTCTTAAATTAAGGGCTTGATTACTTTGAGTTATTATTAGTTATCTAATTAGTACTTAAGTTCCCAAATCAATCCTAATATCAAATTAACTATAATAATATAATCCTAATAAGTTCAATTATGGTAACAAGAATTAGTATTACTCACCCAAGAATATTTGAAATGAATTGTACTTCAAATCATCAGAACAAGACAATATGAATGTTAGAATGTTGGAATAGGTTTTTCTTAAAATATATGTAGAGTGAGTTTGTTTGATGGGGGTATTCGCAATCCCTAATTCAAACAATGGTTTGAGCTGTACTATACTATAATTAATGTATAATAAAATAAATATACATATTGTATTGTCTACTTACTGATTATATCCCACATAAAGCTGAGAAACTAATCAGCAGAAAAACTAAAATGGTACTCTTCTTCTATACTCACCCAAGCTTGTAGGAATTAAAATTTCGACCCCACCCTAAACAAGCCTGCGGTGCTGTAAAACTAAGGCGTGCTCTTATGAAAGAAATGAATTCATATTCATTCGTTATAATATAATTCGGAAATATTCAGAGCATAATTCATGGCGTATCGATAAGATAATATTACATGATTAAAATTAAAATTAATTAATTAATATTAAATGTACTATTCTAATAATTGCAAAATATGTGCATTTTAGGCAGTTTATTGTAGACTATTGAACCTGATGATGCAACCACTTCCGGCTGTGCTGTACTTACTACCTTAATACTCTTTTGTAATCCACCGATATCAGCAGACCTGTCGACGTAGATGGACTGTGGGCAATTAGAATCAAAATTAAAGATGCATCAATTCAAAATACAGCGCTAAACTAAAAAACATGAAAGCAAATTTATAAGTATTGAATTTAATTTAATTTAAATGTAAATTTTATTTTTAATTATAAATATAATGGCCTGTTAATCCCTTTGTAACTCGAAGAAAAATTGTAATTTCGGTGCCAACGGGTGTTGTTATATTTGACCACCTTAACGCCTCTAGACTAAGTTGCGTTGTGTTTCGGATGTTTCCAGGTTCAACTTATGTCAGCGTGAACATTTTTCATGTGGATTGTAAAAATATTTCGCACGGATTTCAATAATTGCTTCTGACCTTGGCCGAAGCATGCTGAAGAAGAAAATGCATGCTTAGAGCGGAAGCGCAAATGACTTAAAAGTTCAATGAGCGCAAGTTTCAGCCAGCCATCCGTACCATCGAGGCCGAAATAACATGCACATGTCATTGAACGTATGCATTTACACACGCTGCCATTAAAATATGCATGCCTCAAATAAATTCTGCGTACATATTAAAATATTCACACCATTACACCACAGGTTTGATTTACATCTATTAGACAAAGATAGGAGATGATAAAAATCAAAGAGATGCGAATTGAAAATTTTGACTGCTAAATGTCTTTTGCATAACAATGGCCTAACTTTTTTCCATTCAAATATTCAAGAAGATAAATCAATCGGCCCAGTTTTTTCTTGAATCTTAGCCTTAGAACCGATAGGAGATAGGTTAGAGTTCAAATTATCTGCAACCTTGCTCAAAGAAAGATTTCTTTTGATCACTTTCTGATTTATTTCAAATGCACGTGTCAGCTCGAAATTTCTGAAACTCGTCAGCCCTGGGCAGCCTTGCTGTGCTGTCCCTAAACAATTCGAGATTTCGCAACAATTTATAATCTTTGCCATGAGAAATCATGTGATGTCCAATCACTAAAAAATAAGGCGATATGCCAATCGACTGGTGTATAGCTGTTAAGACTACTTGAAAATGTATCCCAATCACGCTGATCACTGCGAATATAGGTTCTTAAAGCTTTATTTATTGAACGACTTACTCTTTCCGCGGCGTTCGATATACACTCTGCGAAATCTGTATCATTAACAGAACATTTTTTATTAGGTGCGAAATTCGATTAAAGGCAATGCAAATGAAATTGATATAATATGTAGAACTGAAATGAAAATAACAAAATAATAATGTGATCAGCCTCCAGATTGGTTTATAACTAAAAAAAACCTCGATTTGATATCGATTCAACAACTTTTTAGAACTCATATAGCGGGGTTTTGGACTGTTGATTACCCATTTAAGCACGACGGAAAAGGTGTCCCCACATGTTCTCTTTGGGATTCAAGTCGCCGGTCTTCAATGTGGTGTTACCAATAATCGCCAAAACCACAGCTGGACACTTCATCAATAGTCAGTGTACCCGTTTTGATGTAGTCGTCGATTACGGGCTTACATTTGAATGATGTTTTGCACACGCCCGGCAGAATCCCCCTCACCATGATTCAGCACAAAAGCAACAGTAATAGTAAAATTAAAATTTTCTGTTTTTATTTCTTAATTTTATTTATTTATTATGCATTTTGGTTAGCTCCATGATATCTTATATAATGTAATGTAATGCTCACGGAGTCCAGGATTGGAACATGAAAACTTATCATTATCAAATAATATATGCAACAAAATGCAAATTGAGTAACACCAAGAGATCGGCTAGCGGTAATTTTGGAGCTTAAGTCTTAACAATCACATTTTTGCCAACCTTCCGAACATTGGAATTCATCCAGGAAATCCGAATGCCTTTCATTGAAATGATCTAAGATGGTATTATGGCCAAGGAATATGACCTTTGTATTTAAAATCGATGTGCTTAGAATTAATCGCAAATTAATCAAATGAAAGGTCCATTAATATGAGAACAGTACACAAGATTACACAACATTATTTGGCCAAACGACCTGCTCGATCCAGTCCACATATGATGCGACGCGTGTGTACAGTCCCGGTGTCTTGGTTACGCAACCAACTCCTGAATTTACGATGCCCAATATGCTGTATTTGTTATTCAGAAAATCCTCCTCCAGGATCAGCGGGCCTCCAGAATCACCCTGGCAGGCGTCTGCAGTGGAGTTCTTCGTATCCGCCGCACACAGCAGCGAATCGATAACTCCCTGCGGCAAGTGTCGCATAGTACTCGGTTGCTTGGCATACGAATCGTTGCACTCCTTCAAGGGCACAGTATTCAACGGGGCACGCATCAATTTCATCGAGGTACTTTTTGCTGTGCAAATACACAAATATGTACGTGAAAAGATAACTCGATTGGTTAGAGTATATATTAATGTATGTATTGAGAAAAAAAAAAGAGAACGTTGCAGAGTGCGAAATACTTTTATGTCATACACCAGCTGATAACAGGTAGCAAAAAACAGGGTGCTTGTACCCAAGAAATTCTGTCCAAGTTTGCCTTTCAAATTCCGGTAGATATAAGCTAGTAAGCTTCATTCGAAGTTTCGTTACTGTAGCTCTTAAGCTATTGGAGAAATGGGCTTTTGGAAATTTGGGGGGCGGGCGTGAAGGTGGCTCAGAAACAAATTTTTAGAGAAGGTTGGGAGTAATCTTCCTTCCAAATTTGGTAACTGTAGATCTTAAATTACGGGAGATATAGGCTTTTCAGAATTTTAGGGCGGTCGTCGCCGTGGCTCAGAAAAATTATGGAGAATGTTCCTACTAATCTTCTTTCCAGTTTGGTAATTTAATTTACGAGAGATATGAGATTTTACAAATTTTGGGGGAGGGAGTGGGTGTGGCCGAAAAAAAAATTGAATGTTCCTAGTAATGTTACTTGCAATATACTTTTCAAAATTGGTGACTCTACATTTCAAGTTGTGTGATATATATCGTCTTATCGATTTACAATAACAGGTGTATCAGTTTAGGGAGTCGTAATGGGCGTGGCTATCCAATTTTCTATCGATCTCTTAGGGAAGTTACCAGTAACATACTTTCAAAATTTGGTGACTCTTGGGGAAGATATGCGGTGGTTGTATGCGTAGTCTGAACATTTATATGCTGATCCCTGGAGGAGGTTACCAGCAAGTTTGCTCACTCTATCTTTAAGATTGTGGGGGATATGCGATCTCATGGACTTACACTTTCCGAAATATCGGCATTGGTGATTGTAGGTGCAAGTGTGGGCGTGGCCATAGAAAATTTTTATCGGCTATTAAAAACGGCTACCATTAATATACCAACCAAATTTTACGGCTTTTACTCAAAAACTGCGGAATATATAGCCATTTAAAATTTGTAGGGGTGAAGGGCATGGGTGCGGTGGAGGTGGGCGTGTCATTTTCCGATCTTTGAAGGACATCGCCAACAACCCACCAACTACATTTGGAGACCGTAGCCTTAAAATTAAAATATTACAGTGGGATTACAGTGTGTTGCTGTTACAGATCTAACAGCAGCATAAGCATGAGTTCGTGAAGCGCAGCGTTAATAAGTCATCAACAAGAAGTCGTCAAAGTCCCGAGTACCTAAAGTTGTAAGGTTGTCAGTGTGTCGGGGAAATAATTCGTTGTTTTAAAGAGTCGAAAATTACGTTGTAAATCCAATACTCATCTTTCACTGTAATATACTTATAACTATTATATTAATAAACAGAACATAATCAATCCTATATATATATATATATGTATCCGCCTGTCAAAATCAAAGCAATTTGACTGAGATTTGGTGGCGCAGTTAATAAACAGCTAACAGAAGATAATTCTGGTTTTGATCTAATGAACGTTCATCTTCAAAATGTCATATTAAAATTGCTCATTTATTTAAGCCAAAAATAAATAACGGTAACTTACTTTTCAGATTCATAATGCCCCAGCCGGCTACATAAAGTTGAGCAGTTTCTGGGGGATCAGCGCTGTCGAATGCGAGACATGCTGGACTTACATTAACGTCCAGTGTGACCTCTTTGGCCAGCTCAAGTACGGCAATATCATTGTATTTGGTGCTGCTCACATAATCCGGATGCAGGACAACATTTGACTGCAGAGTTTAAAAAATTAGAAAGAAAATATATGAATGTATATAATCGCATCACTTACTGTGACGTTAATATCCTGATGATCTAAGTCCCCCGAAATATTCACCGCTCCAAGTCGAACATAAAGGGGCAAATCTTTACTAACGCAATGGGCAGCCGTCAGTACATGACGAGATGAGATCAGCGTACCACCGCAACTAAAAACGATTTTATCAACAACACTAAACGCTATTGCCGCCATATGTGGATAGGTGCCTAACTCGACCTCAGTACCACCTAAAATGTGCGGCGATAGGGGCTGTCCATTTCTTTCTTTGCTTTTCTGAAATTGATGACACGCTGCAGCGAATAATAATAATTATAATATTATGTGATAAGAATAATAACAATAGAAAAATAATAATAATATTAATAAAAAAAAAAACTAGTGAGAATGTTGCAGTCGGGCATAACCGACTTCGAAATACTCTGATCCCATATGTGATATCATCTGATAACGGATGCCACAGGACAGGGTGGGTGTAGCCAAGATTTTTGTAGGAGATTCTTAATAATCTACCGTCCAAGTTTGCCTTTAAAATCGCTGTAGTTATATCCTTCAATGAATTTTATGTGCTGGAGTGAGCGTGGCGGAAAAGAAATGTTGGAAGAGTTTCCTAGTAACCTTCCTTCCTAGTTTGGTAACGGTAGCTATTAAATTACGGGAGTTATGGACTTTTGGGAATTCTGGGGGCTGGAGTGAGCGTGGTCAAAAAACTTCTTCCAGATTTCTGAAAGGCGTTAATGTGTACAAAACCAATATACTACCTTTGGTATCAGAACATGAAAATAATAATAACAGTAAGAATAATATATGAAGGCAAGCATGTTCTACAAATTATAAAAGCTGTTAAAAAAAAACCAATTATAAATTTGAAAGTGATTTGGTTTACATTTTTCAATAATAATAATAATAATTGATTTCAATTGTTTCATAATCTAACCAATTCCCTCTTATTCACGATAATCGAAACATACATCATAATGGGTTCGACATAATGAAATAATATTGCCAATACCAAAATCCCTAATCCTTATTAAATATAAAATGGGCCTCAGGATCAAAAGGGAACATACGTCCTTGACCATTGATATCACGCGAATCGCCCGCTGTCACATTTAAATTCTCCATGCATTTACCAATTTCGATATCCTCATTGATAACTGTTTCGGAAATGGGATTACCCTCAACGACGAGGCGACGCAATGCCTCGCAGCTCAGTACGTAACCAACTCCTCCTGACATGTAACGCTGAGCCACGAATGCCTTAATATTCTCAATCACTGCCTAGGTGTCATTATCAGCTTTATAGAACCAATTCGCATCGTTGAAATGATGCCTGTAAACATATTTAAAGGTCTCCTTCACCTTGCGCCATAAATTCTCTCGACCCTCTCCCACATCCAGCTTCACCGTAGGCAGTTCATCATCCGCTTCGGAGCTCATGAACAGTAGAATATTACAGCGTTTGCCCCAAGTGCGCTTAACATGACGAGCCTTCAGTTTGTGGTTATTCGGATTTGTCATAACCCAGCAGAGAATGCGCACATCCTTCTTTAGCTGATTGGCTAGCGAGGTATTATCGGTTGGATGATCGTGCCGAAGGACATCAAAATGTGGTATAACATCATCAGCATGGGATGGCGGGGAACGGATATTAGAGTCTGTACTGGCCAGAAAGTTGGTGCGTTCGATGTCTTCAGATATGGTTATGTAGGAAATGAGCTCGGCCACACAATAACCTATGATAAGGCCAATCATAAGCATAAGAAACGGACGTGATTTTGTAGCACTCGCTAAAATATCAATTGTCTTTAAAAACATTTTTGAACTCTCGCGGGAATTTGTACGGTTACCTGCGTATACTGCGGAGTGTGTTCCCATATTGATAACACGCATTTTTAAATTAGACACAGAATAGGCTTTACAATGAAAAATTTAAGAAACCGACATTTTATAAATGAGAATATTTATTTCTGAACCGACACTAACTATTTGGCGCTGGCGAATCAACTAAACGAACAAAATATAAGTTGTCTGCGATAAATACAACAATTAGACAGCAACAAGTCTTTGACTTGTATGGGGAGAAGCCGAATAATGTTTACACTCTAATACTGAAGGTGTAAGGCTACATCCGCTTATGCACTGTCCGTCACGCTATCTGCCTGTCTGGCTATCTGTTGGTTTGTATGAAGGCGACTGCTCTTTAGACGTCCTCGAAACTAGAGATTTGAAACTTGGAATATAGACTCGAGGTATACCCAGCTGAGAAAAAGTGTTTTAAGGTGGAGTGGTGGCAAATCAGTAAATAAATCAATAAACCTAAAATCTCACACAATTTTGAAGCTAATGTAACCAAATTTAGATGCTAGACGTCCATCCACCGACCCAAGTCCATTCACACTGCTAAAATTCGGAAATGCATATATTGTTCACAAGTTTTGAGCTGAAGGCAGGTATGAGGCAGATTGCATAGTCTCTTCCTAAGATTGATAAGAAAATTTCTTGATCACGACCATCTTAGCCCCACAAATCAATTTTGGGGCAAGAATAACAAAAAAGATACATTAATAAGAATTCAACCACCCCGCCACTCTCACCGGAAAGTTCTTTGCCACCTGGTAATAGTGTATTCCGTAATCGGTTACGCCTGAGAGCAACGTTCTCCCAATTTTTTAATTTGGTGCTTTTTATCTCCTGTTATCATTACTCATTATGATAAAAGGACTAATTAAAAGCATAAGAATGCTGTAGCCAAGTGAGCTCGACTACGATATACCCTGAACCCAGCTGTTAAATATATTCTAAAATTATTGGTAAATTTCCCTCTATAATGTTTTGCACCCAAATGTGAGCAGGTCTGCCCGTGCACTCGTTTCTTTTAGCAAGACACTGAAGAATAAAAAAAATAATAATGCAGCGCATGTTTTTATTCACACTGACCCGAACTAGCTGGCTACAAACATGTGCACATACATACATACATACATACAAAAATATGTACGGGCAATCATGGATAACGGAGCTCTGCAGAATACACACAAAAACAGAAAAAGACGTTCGCGTCGAATCCCGTGTCATCTCTTTCTCACACATGCAAGCAGAAAATGTTTTCGGGTGCTGATAGAAATGAGAATAACATTAGAATATATTTTCGACTCCAACTTGGATGTTTCTTACCCGATCTTGATGAAATTTGGGCAGTTGGTCAATAATATACATATGCATGCTATGTATTAATTAGAAGAATCTGCATTTAAAAGTGTAGCATTTATTGCTATCGGGACTTTAAATGTATCGAAATGTGAGAAACGGAGGCAGTCATCGATAAAATAAAGCAAACTTGATCTGCGCCGGGTATACGATAACCTATTCCAAATTTGAAATCCATAAGTCTCATAGTCTCTGAGATCCGCCTGTTCAAACAGACTGACGGACGGGCGGACAGACAGACGGACATGGCTATATCGACTCGGCTGTTGATCCTGGTCAAGAATACACACATACCTTATGGAGTCGGAGATGCTTCCTTTTGCCTCTTACATACATACATTTACTCAAAATCATTATACCCTTTTCACGCATTTTTAATGGGTTCAGGGTATAAAACGATAACGTCATCGTCTCTTGTTTATTTCAATTTAAAGCAACAGCATTTTCAAATGAAACCCATCACCATGAGAAGAAATGACTCTTATCACTATATAAAGTCATTACATTGGCTTTTATTAATGCTTTTAAATAAAATTTATATGTTGTGACATATAAGATAACTAAGTTTTGATTAATAAAAGCTGGGCAAGAACAATTCAAAATCTACAAGCAAAGTCGTAAGGAGGGTCTGGCGTTGGCAGGTTGGGGTCTCGTACTCAAACTTATGTATTCATATGTATGTTTTATTGTATCCAGCAAAAAAAAAATAGCTGACTGTAAATCTTACATCAAAATGTAAAAATCATATGCAAATATGAAATCCCGAAATGAGAATTGTAAATAAATAAATAAATCAAATAATAAAAACTATAACTCTCATCATGTACATTTTCCAGACAGTTCTTAAATTAAGGGCTTGATTACTTTGAGCTATTATTAGTTATCTAATAAGTACTTAAGTTCCCAAATCAATCCTAATATCAAATTAAATGTTAGATTAGGTTTTTCTTAGAATATATGCACATTGAAATTGTTTGATGGGGTTTTCCCCAACCCCTTAATCAAATATTTAACCACTTTAAATCTTTTGCCAGATATTTTTAAGTGTACATTCCTTATTCTTGTTTTTAAATTTGAGTATTTATATTTGTAAATATCATTTTAATTTTCAGCTTATGAAATTAATTTTTTTTCAATTTACTCCATCAAAATATGAATTATTGTTAATATAAAAAATAACACAACTAATAAATTATTTAAGAACAATTTTATTATTTAAATTATTTCAAAAGATTTGAACTGTACTGGACTCCGTTTAATGTATATTAAAAGAAATAAGAAAGCAAACTGCACATACCTCGCTTTGCCGGCCGTTCGCCATCAGGAACAAAAACTCGATTTGTGGGCAGCGTTGTTGTCTCTGGCCTGTAAATATTCATAAAGGAATAATTAGACTAGAAATGAGTAATAAGTCAGGCAAAGAGCAATGTTAATGATGTCAATGTTTAACACTGTGACAAACCCAAATACGACCGCATTGCCGTTTCCCAGTTCGTTCGAAACAGTTTTATTCGTTGGCGGCTTCTGAAATCGAAACGGTGCCCAGGGATCCAAATCGAAGTTGGGCATGGTGGTCGGTATTATCCGCTCCCTGACCAGTTGAACTTCGGTCCCCTGTTCCGCTGGAACAATTTTCATTCCCTGCTGACGCAGTCGATCATTGACCAGATGTATTAGGTCCCCTGCGGACAAAGATGCAATGTCTGACGAGGAACTTGGCCGCTGTTGAATATCTTCGTGCGTTTTTGGGTTAGGGCTTTGTTGTTGATGTTGTCGTTGAGGCTGCTGCGGCTTTTGATTTTGCTGGATGTTAAGCATCTCCTCTATACCAAAATAATTGGACTCCACATCTAGATCTGAATTTTCAACTCTCCCGTCGCTCTCCAAGTTCCTACTGCGGCCTGCTACTGTGGTTGTTCTTCGTGTTGTGGTTACTGTTCTTGCTGTAGTTGTTGTTGTTCTGGCTTTGGTACTTTGGACCTGGCTTGGACTACATGTAAATCAGATGCATTGTGTTAGACGCCACATTCTTTTGACTAGCAACCAATGTGAAACATGCAACTGCAATCGACACAGATCTTCGGTTTTTTCGTAGGCAGGAAACAACAACAAAAGCAAAAATACGCGCTTGCATACCCTTATTTATATATATATATTTATTTATTTTGTATACATGGTATTAACTCTTACCGTGTTTTGCTGCCACAGCACTCGGCTATCGGACAGCAGATAATCTCCTCATGTGGGCCCAGACCACAGCTGGGCACATCATCTATAGTCAGTACGCCCGTTTTAAAGTAATCGTCAAGTACGGGCTCACATTTGGATGATATCTTGCACACGCCCGGTAGATTCTCCTTCACCATGCACGCATCGCCCTCTGAAGAATATATATGGTCAATACAAACAACAGTTAAAAAAAGAGATAATTCAGTACGAACAATACCTTCAAATGCCTCAATGTTTGACAACTTGCCCAGCAGAAGCACACACAGCAGCAGGCTGCCGGTGGTTAGACTGGCTCTCATTCGCGTCATGATCACTGCAAAAAAATCACTTGATCGGTGCTGTAATTTGATATTTTAAAAGTTTTAATCAAAATATAAGCTTTCTACATTATAAATACAATGTCTAACCAAATTTTTTATAAAATAAAGAGAGTAATTTGATCACTTAATGACTTTAATGCAAATTAATGCGTCTATCATAAACTCATAATAATAACGAATATAGGTACATATATCAATTATATTTTAACTTGAAATACACATTATGGAATTTATTTGAAACGTGTATTTCGAACAGCCATTTGCAACAAAGATGTTATCAACCCAGTGTTGAATATATTTACTCACACAAGCAAAGATATATATATATGTATTACCTGTATTACTTATTAGGGCTATTTATATTAATTACTTTTGCTTTGTAGCTATTTTTTAGATTGTGCGACTGAAACATTCTACCTGCTACTGTTGTTCGCAGTTCTCAATTCAAGTGGCTCTTAAGGTATCTCCGTTTTTTTTATTTATTTGTTTGTTTTCGAATTTTTTTTTTATTTTGTTTTCTTTGCCACTCAAAAAAGCTTTTGTTTTTGAGTTCGTGCTCCATTTAGATCGCAGCATTGTTGATAATAGTGAACCTGCCATTGACCTGTATATATCAATTATACACTGACAAATGCAAGTCTCATCAGCTACATGGGAAATCCCAATACAAAAACATTCGGAAATCAGCTTTTGTCACATGAGGCAGATAATCCGCTAGATGATAACATTTAACTGCGATTCAGAGAACATTTTCCATCCAATAACAAACTTTCTTCTACTCTTTACTTTTTCTACGTCAACTCTTTGAGAGTAGCTGGTTATTTAAAAAATATAGCTTTCCAACTCATTATTAAGCATCGTGCTTTACTTTTCAAATTAGTAGCATCTGACAAAAAATGGCTTATCTAACATTTAACTGATTAAGTTTCATCAAAACTGTGCTACAATTGTAGTAAAAATGTTCAGAAAATTAACAAATTATCTTTTGACTGAGAGTCGTTTCTGCAGCTGAAAGCAATCTCATGATATTTAGCTGAGCATTTTAGTGGTGGTTGCAGATATCTCTGTTTTGGTGTTGTCTCTTGATATGAATCATAACTGATTGTGGTGCTCAGAAAGCGAAAAACTGTAATGAAATTGAATGTTCACTAAGTGAATAATATGGGTAAGTTACTTATTTAAAAGCGCAAGATTGTATGAGGCCAATTAACATAATATTTAATCTATATGAATATATTTGTAGACAGTATGTCCGCCAATATGAGAATATAAATGTTTTTAAGACAACTCTCTATTAATCAAATTCAAGTATAAATATCTTCATGACTTAAGCATAACTTTGACTATATGCGAAAATTACAGTCTCTACATTTATCTATACAAATTTGTTTATTTATAACTTATTTGCTCTATATATATCTAAAAAAAAAGTTGTATTTATAACTTGAGCATGTGTTTATATTTAGGTACGCTTAAGTGTACGCAAACCTTTCTACACTATATAAGTATATGCTGACGTCACAATAATACACGCTTCATGAAACTGGTTGATTTAGTTAATCGTGACTTTAGGCAGCTCTTTATAGGATCTGTCATCGCTGTACTCGTATATGTGTAATTAAAATACAGAATGTACCATCTCGTATCACACAAATGCACAGAAATTCGATTTTCTATATAATTAATATTATTATTATAATGATGTTTTAGCGTATTGTTGGACAGACCTTTATCAACTTGTGTTTGGTGAAATTGATAACTCTCACAAAAAATTAAATAAATAAACGTACTTGTTTAATTGTGTATAGTTTTTCTAATTTAATTTATTTTCAAGTTTTGTTCTTTTATATGCCGTTATTCTCGAAACACTGATTAAAATAGCACAAGGCACATTGAAAAAAAAAAAACAACAAAAACAATAAAGGCAAAACAAAGAACACATGCAATCGACCACTGTATATAAAGCAAAAAATTTAAACCAGTGCCAAGGCGATATACGAAATCGCTTATCGGCTCTCCGACTGGACTCTGAGGTTGGGGGCTACCGCTCAGCACCGCGTCGCTCTGCCAAATGAAGCTACGAGTAGAACGCAAAACGTTGCTGTGACTGGAGCCGCAGCCAGAGCTGAACCAGAGCTGAGCCAGTGACCAAGCATCCGTTGTTGTTGTTGTTGTTTTATTGTTGATAGCAGCCAGCGGCGAACCGGTTTTGTTTTTTTTTAGCGTTTCACAGAATCAAAATACGCAACTGAGCGCAGCTATATAGGTACTACATAAGTATTATATATAAGTACAGGTCGCTATTCAAGAATTAATCAGCAAACAGCACAGCAACAAAAAAAAACCGGCAGTAGTAACAACAACAACTGCGATTCAAGGGAAATACAAACTCAAAGTCAGAGCCAGATTGAAATGTCGAGAGCGCAACATATGATTGGGTTTGCCCAAAGTCTCTGCTCATATTTATGATTTTTAATTATTCCCAAATGCATACAAATACTTTCTCTGAGAGTGGTTTGTTCACTGAACTGTTTTTTTTTTATATTCAATTAACTACCAAGCTAACTGAGTAAGTCCACTTTTAGTTTTAATCAACAAATTGCTCAAATTTTTGTTTTCAGAATTTAAACACATCTGAAGATTTTAAAAACGAAATAAATTAAAAACACATAATATATAAAAATAAATCATACAGATAAATAAATAAGCCAATATCAATCTCAAAAAAATCTGCTTCAACCGTTGGGTATGTATTGTATTGCATGATATATTTTAGTATTTAGGAACGACTACCCAGAAAGTCTGAAACAACGACAACGTCTGCAACGTTCATAGACTTATAATGGGCTTTTGGGCTGTTTGGTTTTGCGATGAGAAACCAGTTTAACGAATCTCTTTACATCTCAATATGCTTGAGAGTACCAGTTTTATTTTAGCCTATAGATAATAGAAGCATATTCGGAGACTTTATTCAAATAAAGAGTAGATGTGATAGTATATACTAATCAAATACGTAAGTCCTATAAATTAATCAAAATTAGGAAGGCAACGTGAGTCTGAAGCTGTAGCAACTAAAGCTGCAACAGCGCTGTGGAAACAGTTAAAGCTTAAAACATATGTAAATGCTGCAATCCTTGTCGTTGGCTAATGCTAATGCTGTTGTCGCGCGACGAAGTCGTAGAGGTGCGTATCCAACACGCTTGTAAAATACATCGCCTGTGCATCGCAATTGGCGCCCGTAGGCGTGGCAATGCCAAGCACACAACGATCACCATTGGGGCGCCGCAAATGTAAAACGCTGCCAACAACCGCCGGGCATGGCGCACATGAGCTGGACTTGTTGGCAGCGAGTTCACCCAAATTAATGGGCTCCAGACAAAGATGCGCCGTTGGTAAATTCTGCACACCAGCCACATTGTCGATGTTCTTGCAGCCATCGAAGGGCAGCAGACGCATGGGCAGCTCATAGAAGGGACAATCGCTGTCTGAAAAAAAAAAACACTTTCTTGGAATGCATCGAGTTAAGAGTGGTGAAGTGTAAGCGTACCATTGCCCTTGGCCCAGGCGGTGGCCAATAGCTGTCCGCTGACCTGCAAGCGCGTGAGCTCAAAATGCGTGCATATGGGAGCAAGTTTGAGTTGGGGGCCTATTTCCAACGGACGCTGCAGATGCAACAGCTCCAAATCCTGTCGATGCACAGCCACGTTCTAAAGCAAGAAAGAGATAATCATAAGTTATCTATATAAAGAGAGAACGAGCTAGAGAGCGAGATAGAGAGAGGGAAAGTGAGAGATGCGTAGCTCACTCGAATATCAACTAAATAATCCTCGTCGGTGTCAACTTCACGCATATCGGCGACGCCAAAAACCGCATGACTTGGCCGCCCGCAGCCAGCAACGGTGAGCAGCAGATGCGACGTCAACGCCACCGCCGTGCAGCGATGCACATGTCCATCGAATGCGGCATTCGGATACGCAAGTGCTGCCAAATGCTTATAATGACTCAGCAGCTGCACATCACCAGTGTTATTCTGATACTGATCCTGTTCCTCAACTTGTTGTGACTGTGTTTGCTGCGAACCGACACGCAAATAGGTCTCAATTTGACCTCGCGGCTGCAGTTTCAAACTAGTGGGGCAGCAAATGATCTCCTCAATTGTGCCACTACGACACGTTTGCACATCAATATCACTGACACGCTGCTGCTTCAATAGTGGCTCCAGACTCGCACACTCCGAGATGCCCAGACATATGCCCTCGTACAGCGGTGCCTGGCAAGCGGCTTTATTTTGAGTATTCGCGCCTGGGAACACAAGTTCGTCCCGACTAAATGGCGCATTTATCTCTACTGAGGGTAGCGTATAGTCGTGATGCGTTTTGAATATGGCTAGCCAGGATGGAGCCTCTGTTGTCGTTGTTGTAGATGTCGTTGTTGTTGTTGTTGTTGCTTCTGTTGTTGTTGTTGTTGTTGTTGTTGCTTGTGTTGTTGTTGTTGTTGCTGCTGTTAGTCTTGTCGTCGTTATTTGGTTTGAAATGCGATCAGTCACTGGGTGGTGCTCCACTTCGAGGGGACAGCATATTTTCTCCCCTTTGATGGTGTACCCACAGTTCACCACCGCATCAACCGATAGTTTACCGCTGTCAATGTACTTGCCAATCGTTGCGCATTGCTCTGCAGGCTGGCAGTTGCTATGATAATTTCGCGTCGGACAGGGATCACCCACTGCAGAGAGAAAACTACTATTAATGAGAGAGACACAGACAAACTGCGAACACACCTTCCAGGCTAAAGTAGCCATTGCAGATGCTTAGACAGAGGCAAAACAGCACTGGTATCACGCTAAACATCGTCGGTCCGACAATCGAACTGAACGTGCGCATTGCTCGCGCTCAACTGACGCTCAATTCAACTCTCCAACTGACCAAGCAACCGGCAGCACCAGCATAGACGTCAGCAGCTCCGCCTGAGGAAGTGTTAAGTTGTACCCGAATTCGATGTGACTAGACTTGAACTAGTCATTCATTTAATTATATTTTGCTTGCTTGTTTATCTTCGAACAAACCGTAACTCAGAGCATGTGAATCGTATGCATATATTTTTGTGAATGGCTTTAGCTAGTAATGCGTTTCAGATTAATTTTCTCATCATTCGGATAATTACAAGCTTAGTAAGTGTGCAGGGGCGTACAAAAGGGAAGAGACTGATTTTGTTTATATTTATTTTCTATTGTTGCTTAATTTTTAATGCTTGCCACGTTTCATACATTATATTTATATAAATAATAGTTACCCACATACTTTGTTGAGCTTATAATAAATAAACAATAAACAATAATCATATATAATATGTATAATAATGGACTGGCAAATAAGAACGATCTATTAAATTTTAAATTATAACCCGGCAATAGTTATATACTTAAACTAATGATTTTGTGACCAATCATATTATCCTGAAATGGTAATCAGATCAGCAATAATCAAGATTCCAGTCTGGTGGCGGCTATTGATCTGGATTCGGAGCGCCTTGACCCGGCATATTCGGTCGAATGGGACCTGGATTTCAGGTAAAGGCAAACAGATTACCCAACACCTAGGGGATTCAAATCGCCGCGTTCAACATCGGGAAAATAAGGAGGATGCGGCCCAAAGCCGTGCGCCTCGTTCCCCATGGGACTGATCTGCGATCGGTCTTAACAACTCGGTAAATTGGTGCTGCAATGCTGGATGTGTCTTTGCAATGCTGCCTTTGCCAGTGGCTACGAGCATTTACGTCATTGGACATAGATTGGTCGCATTCTTGGTATGCACATCCGGCAGATTGACAATCAATGCATACTCGGTGGCATGACCTTACTGTAGATAGAGCATTTTATTGCGCGTATATCTTAGCGAATACTTGGCCCCGTCATCATTCCACTGATCCGGCAGCAGTTCGCTGCCAGTATCCTCATTCGGCGAACTTATGTTATCTCCGATGCCACCGCAGTTGTTGCAATGCTTGGTTAACTGAAAGTGGATAAGGACCATTAGCACATCCGCCCAAATAGCAAATCCCAACCGTACAGAGAGTCATCACCCAGCGGATTGACAAGCGATTTTGAAGCTGGGTAGACATCCATGTTTTTCACAAATTTTGATTTATTAGTATTACATTAATATTTTATACAACCGACCAACTAGCTACAAATAAAGGGAAACACGGTCACTATTTTGTTGCTGTTAAAATACCCAACATTTTTCCAGTATTTGAAATTCAACGAAATTCGTTTGATGAGGGGTGTATGTGAGTGGATGTAGGAGTAAATAATATGTTATTTGTTGTAGTATATCACATACTACTTTATGTAATATGCTATATATTTTTAATTATATATTTGATGTGCTTAACATTTTTAACAGTTTCGAAATCGAAGTAGTTCAGCAAGCAAGAATGCCATAGTCAAAGGTGATTGACTAGGGAGTACCAAATGATCCATCGTTTTCCCTGTGTCTATACGTGAATTTCTCGTACTTGCCGTGGAACATCCTGGCATCGGAATTCACTACGCTCGTGTAATAAATCGAATTGTTATTCACAACGCACTTGTTCGTGGTGGGCGTGGCAATGCCTGCCACACAGAAGCTTCCATCGGTCCGCTGAACATGAAGAACACTGCTGCTGGCCGTCAAGCATTTGGAGCAGCTGTCCATCTGTCTGGAATGCGAGCCACCTGAAATGGGCTTTACGCACAGATGCATCCCGGGTATATCAAAGCCTTCCACTCGACGAGTGGCCTGCACTAGGCTGCAGTCGTCAGATAGGACAAGCGGCGTGGTGAACAAATCGCAGTTGTTGCCTAGAAGCATTAAACACAGAGAATGCAAGAGATATTGTAAAATATATTATATTCACATCTTACCATCAACACCCTGAGCAAAGCCTACGGCATAGAGATTTGACGCTCCCTTCGCTTCCTCCTCAATGCAAAGCGTAGCCGACCTCGCATTTGGCATTTGATCCAAATTAATTTGTCTATTCAGAACAAGCAGCGCTATATCGTTATAAAGTTGAGTAGTTTCCCGAACCTGTTATTTTAACATTAAATCTTTGTGGAACATAATTGTTGTCTCTTAAATAGCAGTACCTTAATGTCAAAAATTTCTTTGTCATGTACGAACAAATTAAAATTTCTTGCATTACTGAATCCGACCACAACTTTACTGGGTTCATCATTTTCGCGATCCACGCATGTGCTCGACGTCAGGACTTTGGTCGACGACAGGACAATCGCCGTGCAGCGAATCACGTATTCATCGAGCGTAGTAGGATTTAAATATAAGAGGAATGCCAGATGATTGAAGCTTTGTCTATTGTCGACACAGCAGCACCAAACATGATGAGATTAATGAAGTAAAGTTATAAAAATTACTTACTTGGGCGCTTGGGGAAAACTTGAGATGGACCTCTGAGAGGGACAGCATAACATCTCTGAACTTGTAGGGTCCATAAACCCGCAGGTGGGTATTTCTTCCAATGCAATGATCCCATCATTAACGAACGTCTCCAACGTTGAGCAGCGTTCGCCCAATTCACAGTAACTTTCGGTAAAGTTAAGGAATTGGCATTCATCACCCACTGCATTAAAAGAGTATAATCGAAGTGAAATACAAGTAAGCAAGTAATAAATTAAAACTAACCTTTCTTGTGAACGCTTGACCTAGTTGGGTTGCCATTGGCTGCCAGAATCGGTAAAATGATGATAAATGTAATTCCCATATAAGCGATGTGGGCCATTATGTATTCAATTCGGGTATTTCAATTTCGAAAAGCGATTGTTCAGGTTGCAAATCAACGACAAACTGAACTGAACCAACAATATGATCTGAGTTTTAAAAAACGTTTACGATTTAATCTCAGATTCATCTCCGTCTCCTATATATAAATGAGTATTTGCAAAAATTCATAATTGTTCTCTCTCTCTCTCAATATATTTTAAAATAACATTTTGATAAGAGCACATCAACAACAACGACTTCATACAGTTCGGTCGGTTCTTAATCACTTAAAATGGTAAAAAACATGATGAATATTTATAAATAAAAGCAACACGCAGAGGGGAGAATCTCTGACCACTGACTAACTGCAGATCGGTTGAGAAACACAGAAGTTATGTACGTTATGTAAAGTCTTTGATATGGGTAGTTTCTGGTGTATTTAAACAAGATTGTATAATCACACATCACAATATATTCGTCATTATATCTCGCAAATGTTACTGCCGTTTTAATCTGCTTAAGCTCAGAAAATTATAATTTTGTTCATAAATAAATAATTATTTTCCATTTCTGCGTTATTTATAAACATTTATATATATGTATATGTAGTATAAAACATTTAGATATGCTGCGTTGCTAATAAACTTTTATACAAAACTGAGGAACTGAGAACTCAATCCTACAAACGATGCACATTGTGGCTTCCCGACTTTTCCGTCTCCAAAAAATCGTATTTCTTAAAGTAAGGACGATAAAATTTTAAAAGCTCCCAAGAACACATCCTTTATTATTATTCTATATTACCAAAAATAGGTTTATTCACTTCTGTTGTAATGGCTAAGCACGACACTACTAAATCAACATTTAAGCTGAGCATACATATTTATATATTTTAAATAATGTGCTGTTACATTACGAATTTGATCGTCATCGTAATCTACACTTTGTTGCCGACGTAGCCGTGAATCCATACGCGAGCATAGTATAATTTTCTATAAGTATGACCGCGGTCATAAAGAACCCAATCTACATGCTGCGCTTTAAGCGCTTTACAGGGTCGTAAGCGATCTACTATACGACTTATATACCAAGCCCTATTATAAAGCAGTTGCATTACACTATTATATATACGAGTATATTTAAAGTTTAGTTTTACAAATATTTTCAATATTTTGAAAGTTTACTATATAAACAATTTTAAAAATAAATAAATTTTTTTTTTCAAAACAAAGAATAAAAATGTCTTTGATGCAATCTGCTTAATAAGTTTATATGCTCCTAGATTCAAAGCATCAACAACCGAGTCGATATAGACATGAACGTCTGTCCTTCTGTATAGGGGCGTGTGACAGGTGGCCAAACGCGAGTTTCACCAGCAGCCGTGCACCGGAGGGGTCCCATGTCGACAATGTCGTCTGCTCCGGAGATGCCTCGACCAGTCGAGACCTGGTCCTTGGTCGTGCGCAGCAAAACTGCTGGTAAGACCGCCAAGGACGTGGTTGATAAGGTAGTGAAGGAGGTAGGGCCTACCTTAGGTGTGCGCGTCCATGAGGTGAAACCTCTGCGGGATGGTGGAGCGATTATTCGCACCCCATGCGTTGCCGAGCGGAAGAAATTTGCGGGGGTATTACCAACGTTGCTGGGCTCCTGCAAGCACTAAATGATGTCACGCCGCCCGACAGTTTCATGCTCAAATGCAATGGTGGTGGCACTGTAAGGGTAATGCCAAATGATATTGATGCCTACAGAGCAATACAGAGGTTGTTCACAGACAAGCGAATCCCGTTCCATTCGTACCTACTGAAAGAGGACAAAGGTTTCCGCGTGGTGATCAGGGAACTGCATCCATCCCTGCAGAAAATGGATCTAATCAGAGATGAGCTGGGCAGACTTGGGCACGCAGTGCGTGGTGTCCAAACCATCTTTAGTCGTGCTACCAAGAAGGAGCTGAATCTTTGTTATTTGGATTTGAAGCCGGCTACAAATAACAAAGAAATATTCAACCTACGCTCCATCTCTCAAGTACGCATTTCAGTAGAATGCCCTGACCGCCACACGGACTTTCCCCAGTGCCACCGTTGCCAGGAGTTCGGCCACACAATGAAATACTGCCAAAAGCAGCATCGCTGTGTGAAGTGTGGTTCAGCACATGCAAGTCGGGTATGCGAAAAACCTTTAGACGCTGACCCGAAATGTGCCAACTGCGGTGGTAACCATCCAGCAAGCTGGAAGAGATGCCTTGCTTATCAGCGCGTTGCCAAAGAACGGAAGCTTGTGGCTCAGTCACGAAGGCCGGCTCAAGATCCGCAAAAGTCGCGCCCAAGAAGCCCAGCACCCATTCGCAGGGAAAATTTGTCTTATGCTGATGCTGCCAGACTTCAGATGGCTCCTCAGACTCTGCAGCAACAGCAACAGCGTCACCGTCAGCAGCAGGTTCATCCTGAACAACAACCTCAACAGCAGCCCCGCCAGCAACCGCAACAGCAGCAACAACAACTCTCATCGGTTCAGCAAGTTACACCGCAGGCTCCGAAACAACAGCACAAAAAGAAGACTCAACGTCACAAAGCCAGATGCTTAGGCTTCGCGAGCGCATACACACAACAACATAAACACTCACAGCAACACCATCAGCAACAGATCACACAACAAGAACGGCAACAACCACGTCAGCATAACCAACACCAGCAGCCACAGCGCCAGCATCATCAGCAGCCCCCGCAGCAACAATTTCAGCTAGTGCAGCAGCCTTATCTGTACCATGAGCACCCCCAGCTCCATTTTGACAGTCTGATGTCGAAATTCGACAAGCTGAGTGAGACACTTACGGCCATGATAAGCCTGTTGCACGATGCACTTGCAAATAGATGAGTCAAATAGGGTTGCGCATTGGCGTGTGGAACGCCAATGGCCTTGCGAATAACGCCAATGAGCTGAAGTTATTTATTCAACGCCATCAAATAGATGTAATGTTGGTCTGCGAGACTCACTACTGCTCCAGATCGCACTACAGGCTTCCAGGCTACGATATACACCTTGCCAATCATCCTTCGGATCGCATGCGTGGCGGAGCAGCAGTGATCATAAAATCTTCACTGCGACATCATGCGCTGAACTCATTAAGTTGGCTATGCGCGCAATGTGCTGTCGTTAAAGTCTCTAGTGATCAAGTCGAAGTAGTCCTAGCGGCTGTCTATTGTCCACAGAGTGGCTGCAGCTCTGAATGCTCCCAAGACACGCCTTCTGCCACGCAAGGCAAACATCACCCGAATCCGGCAGAGGTTGGAGCAGCTTGTAAATTTGAACATGGAGCTGAGTTCACCGGCTGATATTGACGACGCGGCGGAGTTATTCCTGCGTAATATTAACGTGGCAGCGGAATACTCCATGCTTGGCCAACTACCTTGTTCGCCTCCCAGTCCAGCCCAGCCTCTTTTAAAACCAGAGATTTTGGATCTGGTAAGACACAAGAGAGCACTGCGTCGTCAATATATGCGTTCACGCAATCCTTTGGATCTAAGGGACTTCAGGCGGGCTGCGTACGAGCTGCGAAAGCTGCTGTTTGTCACTAAGAGCAAATATTTCCAAGATATGCTCCGCAATGCCGATCCCAATAAGAATCATGGATTCAATTTGTGGAAGGCAACGCGTTGTGTCAAGCGGCAGCCACTCAGACGGATCCCCATTATGCGACCTGACAACACTTGGTGTCGATCGGATGCAGATATTGCATCGGCGTTTGCGGACGAGCTGCAATGTCGTTTCACGCCCTTTGCACTTGCATCGCCCAGCCAGGTACAGGACACTGAAGCATTTTTAAATGCAGATCTAGATCCTGTACAACCAATTACAACTATCGCCCCTACTGAGGTCCGCTTACAGATGCGCAGGCTTAAGTCCACTAAGACCCCTGGCTATGATGGCATTGACGGCAGAGTTGCTAAGGCCCTCCTAGAGATGGGAGTGATGTTCTTGGTGCTACTTTTTAACTCCATGGTTCGTATCCACCACTTCCCCACTCCCTGGAAGTGCGCTGTGATTGCGATGATTCCGAAACCTGGCAAGCCGGATAATCTTGTCTCGTCATATCGACCGATAATCTTGCTGTCCACTTTCTCCAAAATATTTGAAAAAATATTTCTTGGAAGAATTCTCGGCAGTAAGTGGCTTCCAGAGGGCCATTCCTGATTATCAGTTTGGCTTCAGGCATCACCATGGTACACCAGAGCAAGTTCATCGAGTAGTATAGCACGTCCTCGAGGCCTTGGAAAATAAGCAGTACAGCTCTGCCGTCTTCCTGGATATCCATCAAGCATTTGATCGCGTATGGCATGATGGCCTGCTTTTTAAGCTTAAGTCCCTGCTACCATCAGCGCAGTATTTACTGCTCAGGTCTTACCTGCTTGGCCGTTATTTTATGGTAGAAGTTAGGGGCGAGTGATCAAACATCCGCCCCATTGGAGCTGGTGTACCGCAGGGTAGTGTCCTTGGACCTGCCTTGTACACTTTGTACACCGCGGAATTGCCGATACCAGTAGCCAGAAACACGATGCTTGCCACATACGCGGATGATACAGTGTTCCTTGCTAACTCCACCACTGCTTGGAGAGTAGCTGTGGTTACGCAGAGGTTCTTGGATGGTTTTAGTAGTTGGGTGGAACATCTGCGTCAATGGGAGCAAGTCTCAGCACTGCACGTTCGCGCCCAGGAATGGTAATTGTCCAACTGTCCGACTCAATAACACGGTCATACCTCAGGAGGACCATGTTCGCTACCTGGATATGTTCTTGGACAGGAAACTTACCTGGCGCAAACACATCCATTTCACTGCAGCAGCGTGTAGATACAAAAAAACCAAACTCAACTGGTTGCTGAAGCCATCAAGCAAACTCAGCTTGAGCAACAAGCTGCTGGTGTACAGGAGCATCATCTTGCGTACATGGACTTATGGAATACCATTCTGGGGCACAGCTGCAAAATCTTGGATTAATCAAATTCAAGTCTTGCAGAACAAGGTGCTCAAAGACATCTCTGGTGCTCCACCATATGTGAGCACCAGAACGCTGCACAACGACTTCGGATTGCTGACAGTCAGTCAACAA